GGCCTCCAATTTGTGACAAAATAAGGAGAATCAAAAGGCTTGTGGCAAGAGGAGAGCAGGGCAGGCCGGGGGAGAACCTGGGCCCTGGGCTGAGCTGTCTTCACATGGCCCTCAGCTCTCAGTGACCTGAAGACCAGGACCTAGCCCCAGCGTGGGGACTGTGCAGGGGGACCGGGGGCATGGGGGCAGCTGTGCCGGGGAGCCAGCAGAGACACAGCTAACAGCACAGCCCGGCTAATGAGTGTGGGCCAAGCACTCAGGGAAACCCAGGCAACCCTGATGCTGACTCACGGGGTGGGCAGGCGGGAAGGTGCTGGTGGCAGGAGGTGAGTGGCACCCTCCCTAGCTGTGCGGGGTGGGAGACTTGCAGGGCCGGGCACAGGCACCCAAAATGCCGACACCTAAGCACAGCCCGTGTTGGAAAGCGCGTCCTGGGCCAGCCTGCATGTCCTGTGCCTGGGTCACTCCAGCTGCACGGTGGAGCTGCAGCCTCTCCTCCGGGGCTGGCTCCACTGCCTCGGCCCTTCCAGGCCCTCCCCAGACCCTGCTCCGATCCACAGGCCCCACGTGGGTTCTCAGAGCACTGCGGGGCAGCAGTGGTGAGGAGGCACCTGCTTCACTGCAGGCTGCCCAGAGGCCACAGCCGCCCACATCATGAACTGTTGGTCCCCGGTCACTCTGCTGCATACCTCTGCAGCCCCGAGACAGTCACACCACCAGGAGGGGCGATCCCAGCCTGCAGCCGCCTTTGCAGGCCGCCCTCTGTGCCTAGTCCAGACCCATGGCAAGGATGGAGGCGCCCTGCCGCCTCCTGTGAGGACTGAAAGCCTGAGAACACAGGAGTGGTGAGGGGGGGCCCTCAGAAGAGACCGACACCACACCTGCCAAGGGCAGAGAGAGAGGGACAGAGACAGAGGGAGAGGGAGAGACCGGGGGAGAGACAGGGACAGAGGGAGAGACAGGGCACAACTTGCTGCCCAGCCCACTGATTTCTGGCCCTGGGGGCCTCTTGGTGCCGAGGGCGGTGGCGCTGCCCCCGGTGGACTCTGCAGAGCTGTCCCATCCCACCTGTGCTGCTGTGGAAATTGCAGCACCTTGCGATGCAGGGCTCACCGTGACCCGCCCCTGCCACACTCCCCATCCCGAGGCACCCTGGGGATCCCCAGTGAGGCCACCTGCAGGGAGCCCACCTCCATCCACGAAAACGGGGCGTGTGAGAGAGCGCTGGGAGGACCAAGGCCCCCAGGAAGCTACAGACAGAGTCACCGCGCCATCAGAGAGAACAGAAAGGGGCTGGAAGAGCTAACCGCCCCGCCGGTGCTCCCAGCAGCCAGAGGGAAAGACCACCCGGGTGTCTGTAGACACAGGAGGGACCTAGAATGGGGCCCAGGCCATCCCCAGGGGACACGACTCAGCCTTAACAAGGAAGGAATTCTGACACGGGCCCCACTGGGTGCACCTTCAGGACGGTGTGAAGATGCAGGCGCAGAAGGATAAGCCTTGTGCCAGGCCTCCCATTGGAGGCCCCAGAGTTACCAGGTCCATGGAGACAGAGCAGGTGGTGGGGGCACGGCGTCCGTCTGGGAAGCTGAGGGAGCTCTGCAGATGACGTGGAGACGTCTGCACAATGAGAACGCTCATTAGAAAATGGCTGAGATGGTGAGTTTTATGTGATGGACTGTGGGGGGGTCCATAGCCAGCCACGGCCCAGGTGGGTGCTGGGCAGCTGTGCCCGGCATCGACCCTCGGCCCACCCCATCCTTGCTCCCGGCCTGCAGTGGCGTGTCGGAGTTAGGGGCTCAGGTGCCCTCATGTTCCGTGGTGCTGTGGGTTCACGTGCCCTCACCCTTCGGCAGACGCCACTTCCTGCCTCTCCGAAGCAGCAAGGCCCCGCCTGCGTGTGAAGAGCGAGTCTTCCCTGCCCCCGAGGGCCCAGCACCCACCTCCACGAGCGGAGCGTCTCCAGCCAGGATCTCGGGATTTGGTTTCCTTGAAACACACTCCAGTTCAAAAATTAATGGAAAAGTGCTTGGCAAAACTTGTTCAGAGCTTTATTGAACCAAAACACTTTAAAAACAGTTTGGGAAGCGCAGTGAACCCCAGCTGTGGCTCAGCCCCACATCTGGGCGGTTCTATCTGTCCACCAGGTGATGGGAAGCCTGGACCGGAGCTGGGGCCAGGCCGCCAGGGGAATGCTCTGCGCAGGCATCAGGAGAGGAGCAGAGCATCGCTGCCGGAGGCCGGGGCAGAAACAACTGGCCCTGGGCTGCCGCCTAATTAAACAGATCTGGGTGAACCAAGTCGTTTAAACAAAACTGTTGGAATTTTGCCATTTGAAAAATACTGTTGTTATTTTGCAAGACGAAAACAATGGAGAGTTCACAGGGACAAACCCAAACTTGCCAGAAACGAGAAGTGGGAGGTGTTTACCCAGAGGGGCCAGCGCTAGCAAAAGGCACTGCCTGGGATGAGCAGGGCCAGCTCTGGGCGTGCCCACCTGGCCGCCCCACGCACACACACACACTGCGAGGGGCGCACACCCGGTGACAGCCACGGCATGTCCTGCGGAATGCGGAACGGAGGAGACCAGGCTCTGAAGCGGCTGCCTCTGTCCGGCCTCACAGGTGCCTGACTCCCTAAGACGAAGCCAAGTGCAGGACCACTGCCTCCCTGTGAAGCGGTCGCTGGCTTTCCGGGGCCAGGGACCGGGTCTAGTGCCTGGGACAGCTCACACGTGGCATCCTTCCCGCGCTGTGCACACCGTTGGAGTGTCAGCTCAGCCCTGTTTGTGCTTCCTAAGAGAAATGAAGGTTTCAAGAGCCATCTTCTTCCTGGCATGGTGTGAGGCCCAGTGGCTGCGGCGGCTGTGCAGGGCGGCCTCCTCGCCCGGCTTCCCTCTTAGCTACAGTTGTTGTTTCATCTGCCCCATCCCTGTGCCCCCCACCCCATGGAGGAAGCAAGGACCCTGTTGACGGCAGCTCTCCTGTGAATGAGGCCTCCTTCAGGTGCAAGGGACAGAATACCACATTAAACTTGACTGAGCAGAAAAGGGACGTTACTTCCTCACCAAGGTGAAGACCCCAGGGGCAAGCTCTCAGGCCCCACTGGACGCAGGGGCTCAAGCAAGGCGGGGAATTGGCCTCTGGAGTCCCTGTTTCCACGGCAGGAGGGCGTCCTTCAGTCCCAGCTCCAGAGGAAGAGAGCCTCTCTCCCAGCGGCTGAGGGGCAACACAGGCAGCTTCCCTGGCTTTGGGGTCTGTGCCCCCACAAGGGCTGTGGTGGGAGCCAGCAGGGACATTCCCATGACCCCCTGGAGTTTAGACCAGGCAGTGGGGGTTCTCAGGCAAAGGTCGTCCACAGGGAGAGCTCTGTCCAGCAGGAGCGCCCTGGGCGCTGGCCTGGAAGGGAGTGTCTCAGTGGAGGCGCAGGTGCGGTGTGGGTGCTGTCAGGCCACTGAGGGGACATGCATTCCAGGAAACACCACAGCACACTGTGACAAGCGTTGTATCCAGGAAAGAATGGAAACCACTGCCCGGCCAGCCGAGTGTGGTGGCTCACGCCTGTAATCCCAGCACATCAGCAGGCCAAGGCAGGTGGATCACCTGAGGACGGGAGTTCGAGACCAGCCTGACCAATATGGTGAAACCCCGTCTCTACTAAAAATGCAAAAATTAGCCGGTGTGGTGGTGGGCACCTGTAATCCCAACTACTCTACTCGGGAGGCTGGGGCAGGACCACTTGAACCTGGGAGGCAAAGGTTGAAGTGAGCTGAGATCATCCCCCGGCATTCCAGCCTGGGCGACAGAGCAAGACTCCATCTCATTAAAAAAAATAAACCATTGCCCTTTGGGTTGGTTTCCTGGGGCTGCCATCACAAATGGCCACAAACTAGGTGGCTTGAATGGCAGAAACCTGTCCTCACAGTTCTGGAGGCCAGAGGGCACAGTCAAGGGTCGGCATGGCCGAGCGCCCTCTGAAACCTGCCAGGTCCCTTTGCTTCCTCTTTCGGCTCACTGTAGCCCCAGCCGGTCCCTGGCGTGTGGAGCCATCACCCCAGTCTCCGCCTCTGTTGCCACACGACATTCCCCTTGCCTGTGCCTTCCCCTCCTAAGAGGGCAATGGTCATAATCGGGGTCCCCTTAATTGACGCCATCTTAACTAGTTACAACTGCAGAGACCCACCTACCAAATTAGGTCTCATTCCAGAGACCAGGGACTTCAGTGACTCTTTTTGGAGGGTGCAGTTGAATTCACAACAGCATTGTTCTGAATAATGATTCAGCTGTGTTGAACCATTAGCAGGCACCTGTCATTGGCCTGCACTGAGAGGTGGAGGCTGTTACTGTCGGCTCCCATAGGTATACCGGAATCCAGACTCAGGCTGTGGGTGCTCTGTGAACCCATCCCCAGGAAACTGGTGAAGTCAAAACCCCCAGCCATTTAAAGTCTCTGGAAATGGTCCTAAGGACAAACAGCAGCTGAAGACACACCCATTGAAAAAGGTCTGATTTTTTAAAATTGCCTTTAATAGGAAAAGTGAAGATGTTTGGTATTTTAACCAAAGCCCCAAAACCACTCCCTCCTCCCCTCCCCTCCCCTCCAGAGTTGGGCAGCTGAGGACCCCAGCTCCCTCCAGCAGCTCCCCGATGGAGCAGGAGAGTGACCCTGGGGGACAGAATGTCGGTGTTGCTCATCCTCCCCATCTGCCTGCTGCTGGGGCTACTCGGTCCTGAGGGAATCTGGTGGAGGGGTGGGGGTTCCCACTCATGGGTGGGAGGCTGGGCCTTGGGTGTGGCACACTCAGAAGACAGAGCCCAACTGCCCTTGCCCAGCTGACAGGACAGTTATTCCAGGCCAGGAGAGGCCAGTGGGATCTCCATCAGGCACTCAACTCCGAGAGACAGTGGGTGTCCTTCACACGGAGCTGTGTCCCCATCCCCAGCCCAGAGCAAACTCTGAGACACAGAGGGCATCCTTCACATGGAGCTGACGGTGTCCCCATCCCCAGCTCCAGAGAAAACTGAGAGACGGAGGGCGTCCCTCACATGGAGCTGACAGTGTCCCCAACCCCAGCCCAGAGCAAACTCTGAGAGACAGAGCGCGTCCCTCACACAGAGCTGACAGTGTCCCTATCCCCAGCCCAGAGCAAACTGAGAGATGGAGGGCGTCCTTCACATGGAGCTGACAGTGTCCCCATCCCCAGCCCAGAGCACTGGCTCAGAGATTTTGCTTGGAGTGAGAAGCAGTAAGTAAAAGAGATGGTTTCTAATCTCCTCCCAAAAGAACCAACTTCATTTGCAGCAGAACACTGGAGAAGCTGAAAGCCCAGGGTCTCCTCAAGAACGTGGAGGTTGTCATAAAAGGCATTTGGGACATTCGTGGATTTAATGCAGATTGAGGACTGTGATAGCTGAGAGGAGCCCTCCAGGGCCAAAACAAATATCAAACATGGACATCAGAAGCTCTCCTTTAAATAAGGCACAACTTAACTGGATTAATTGTAGAGTAATTTATGTCCCAGATATTGTTGAAAACAGTAGAGCAATCCAATGGCAGCTGGTGGAATTTAATAGCTGGGTGTGGTCAGGGAAAGAGAGGAAGAGATCTCTATCAAAATCCTGTCATTCCAGGGTGACTCTGGGCACATGGAAGCCACCTCTCCCTAAGGAGCAAGCCAGAGGCATAACACTGCTGGCGGGGCTGGGGGGTAGGGGGATGGGCTAGGCGTCACTCCAGTAACCTCACAAGTCACCACACCAGTAAGTAAGCAAATAACTAAACAAGCCCCACACAGGGGGACCAGTATCTAGAGCTGCTACAATACATTGTCTAAAATGCCCAGTTTCTAACAAAACATTGTGAAGCATGCAAAGAAACGCAAAACTACGACCCCCACATTTAAATTAAAAAAAAAAAAAAAAAAGACATCAGAAACTGCCTGGGACAATGACCAGATATTGGATTTAATGGAAAAAGACGTCAAAATATCCTTTATATGCTCCCAGAACTAAAGAAAATCTTGATTAAAGAAGTAAAAGAAGGCACGATGACAATGTCACATCTCGTAGAGACTGCTGATAGACAGAAACTATAAAAAAGAACCACGAGGAAGTCTGGAGCTGGAAGGCAGGATGGCTGAAGAGAGTAATTCTCTGTCGGGACTCAACAGTCGATTTGAACTGGCAGAAGAAAGTGACTTGAAGATGCATCAGTGGAGATGACACAAACCCAGCACAGAGAGCAAGTAGAATTAGAAAGGCAAGGAGAGGCTTGGAGAACAGAGGGACACGTGAGGTCACCGAGGACGCACAGGAACGGGCCGGAGAACGGAGGGACACGTGAGGTCACCGAAGATGCACAGGCACGGGCCGGAGAACAGAGGGACACGTGAGGTCACCGAGGACACACAGGCATGCGCCGGAGAACGGAGGGATGCGGCGAGGTCACCAAGGACGCACACACATGGGCTGCACTAGAGGGAAAGGAGAGAGGAAGAAAGAGATGAAAAAATGTTAAAAGAAAAATGGTTGAAATGTTGCAAATTAGTTTTAAAAAATAACCTGCAAACCAGGATTCTCATTGAACTCCAACTGGGGCAAACCTATAGAGACTCACAAACTGATACATAAAATGCTGAAAGTCAATAATAAGGAGAAAATCTCAAAAGCCAAAACAATAAAATAATGTATCACTTAAAAGGGAACCCCAATAAGGTGAACATACGACTTCTAAGCAGCCACTATGTGAGCCAGGAGGCAGTGGCCTAAGGTAGCCAAAGGAAAGGAAAGGAGACAAGAGAGGAGGGATAGTGCGGAATGGGGAGAGGGAGGGAGAAAGGAAGGAAGGAAGGGACGGAGGGAGGAAACCTGTTGGTCCCAAATCCAGTGCTCCGCAGAACGTTCCTTCAAGACTGAAGGTGAAAGACTTTCAGAAAAACAGAGTTTGTTGCTAGCAGACCCATCTGACAAAAAATACTCAAGGAAGTTCTTGAGGCAGTGAGCAGGAAACTTTTGACAGTGATTGAAATCACAGGAAGAAAACAGAGGGCCGCTTACAAGACAGTACAAATACACATTTCTCCTTTTAAAACTGGTGTGAAAAGTGATTGTATAAAATAATGATTATCAGAACATATTCATAGGTTTGTAACGTGACTGTTTATAAAGCAGAATGTATAAAAAGGGGAGAAGGGAATGGACGTAGCTACATAGGAATAGTGTTTTGTGTGTCACTAAACTATTACAAATCTGAAGCTGAGTAACGTGAAAATGAATATGGTAAATAGTTGAGCAATCCCTAAAGCAAAAAGAAAAGTTTTAAAAAGCTTCACTAAAAATAATGCAAAGAAATAAAAAGAAAACAAATAAATGAGGGGAAGACATATGAAAAGTGAAATGGCAGCTCTCCATGCAGCTATATCAATAATAACATCAAATGAGAGTGGATTTAACAACCAAGCAAAAGCAGACTGTCAGTCTGAATTAAGAAAACAGGACCCAACTTTCTGCAGTCTACAGAACACGTACTTTCTATTCAAAGATTCACACAGAGACTAAGATGATGGGAAAAGAGCACCCAAAGAGCAGCCTCAGGATGGCCAGGGAGGCTACTCCTGTGAGACAGAAAGCCTCTTGAAAACAACTGTATGAAGATGAATGTTTACAGCGATAAGAGCACCGCTCTGTGAGAAAGACATAACAATTATGAACAAATGTGCAGTCAACAAGAGAACCCGAAAATGTATGAAGCAAAAGCTCAGAATGAGGAAGAAAGTTCTACGACAGAGAATGAGGACTCTCTACAGAATGAGGGAGAAAGTTCTACCACAGAGAATGGGGACTCTCTACAAAATGAGGGAGGAAGCTCTACCACAGAGAATGGGGACTCTCTACAAAATGAGGGAGGAAGCTCTACCACAGAGAATGGGGACTCTCTACAGAATGACGGAGGAAGTTCTACCACAAACAATGGGGACTCTATGGAACAAGGGAGAAAGTTCTACCACAGAGAATGGGGACTCTCTACAGAGTGAGGGAGAAAGTTCTACCACAGACAATGGGGACTCTACAGAATGATGAAGAAAGTTCTAGGACAGAGAATGGGGACTCTACAGAATGAGGGAGAAAGCTGTATCACAGAGAATGGGGACTCTCTACAGAATGAGGGAGAAAGTTCTACCACAGAGAATGGAGACTCCACAGAATGAGGGAGAAAGTACTATGACAGAGAATGGAGACTCTTGGCAGAATGAGGGAGAAAGTTCTATGACAGAGAATGGGGACTCTCTACAGAATGAGGGAGAAAGTTCTACCACAGAGAATGGGGACTCTCTGCAGAATGAGGGAGAAAGTTCTACGACAGAGAATGGGGACTCTCTACAGAATGAGGGAGAAAGTTCTACCACAGAGAATGGAGACTCAACAGAATGAGGGAGAAAGTTCTACGACAGAGAATGGAGACTCAACAGAATGAGGGAGAAAGTTCTACCCCAGAGAATGGGGACTCTCTGCAGAATGAGGGAGAAAGTTCTACCCCAGAGAATGGGGACTCTACAGA